ATTCAGAGTAAAATTAAGAGTAAAATTACGTTCCGGGAACAGATGCTTCCATCCATGGGGGCCTGGGATCCGCGACGGAGGGAGGATCGCCGGTGGTGAGCTGCTCTCCGGTGAGGTCGACCTCAGTGGATCTCGCCGCTAACCACCCTTTGTCCAGCACCGTCTTCCCTATTGCCGCCATCGCTCTCCGCCTCAAATCAAACTGAAATAGAACTTCAGATGAAGCCGATCCACATTGCCTTATTTATGCAGGAGAAGAGAAGGCTGAAGACGGAAGGTGGGATGTAGGGCGGGCCCGAAGGGAATGTGGGCCGACACGTGTCGCCGTGCTCTCTCTATCTGCTGGCTGGTGATGATGATGATGGATGATTGCTTCGTCTGTAAATTTTTCGGCGAAGAGATAACGATGATGAACTGGGGTAGACTTGTAGGGGGCCGCCTGATGATGACTTGCAACGGAAGCGTTTTCTCAAATCTAAGTCAACAGTACTTGAGGTTCATCCAACTAGGATAGAAAAAAAACAATTAAGCTATTTTTATCCAAAAATTGTACCTTAAATTATAGAGTGCAGGTGATGATTCATACATGTATAAAATGTTAATGTAAAATATTTGAATCACACTAGTCGATTGTGTCGGTGTGAAATGTTAATACATAACTTTGATGTACACTTTATGGTATATTCCATAAAATACATCTAGCATGGTTGAAAAAAATGATTGGATATATACCTTGTTCATGTTAGTATGTTACCTCAAGCATTACACTTAGAAGAAATAAGGAATAAATTCCCACAGGGAGAAAAAAGCAAAGCCGACGAAGACAAATTAGACATTGTGACATGAAGAGAGATAAAAAGAATGACAATGTCGTGTGTAAAGTGATTTTATCATCCCTTTTCACCCAAATATGTGATATGGTAAAGGGTGATGGGGATGACCAAATAATGAGATAATGAGTACTCCGTATTTTTTATTGTAATTTTTCCAAATTCCATTATCTTCCTCATAAAATGATAAAATAAATAAAAAGATTTGCAATACAGTAAAAGTAAAAAAAATTACAATTAAAAAAATCAACATAAATCTCTCGCTAATTATCTATAGTTCGATTGTTCCAAACATGCTAAATCAAATCTCCTGTTCTCATCCGTAATTTTTATAGTGGGTACATCTACATCTTCGTAATTTTGGCATATTGATTTTTTGTTGCCTTCCAAGACCGTGTTATGTAAAATAACGAAAATGTACACTGCATTCATAATCTTTTCTTTCTTTGAAATGCGGCACAACTTTCTCACCATATGCCATTTTTTTGGTACATAGAATTCTCTCTCGACGTATTTTTGCATCACTGTTTCACCATTTTAAAATAGGGGAAAAAATTAAAGTATGAATAAAATATTGGAAATGCACCAAAATATGTGATGGTGTAAATCACCTAACCGGGTAAACAGTACTAAACCGGTCTAGGATTGTTTACTAGATTCGATAAAGTAAAAGGTAAAAACACACAAAGTAACCGGTAGGACTGTAGGTGGAACACCTGTAGCCCAATTAATATTAAGAATATAGTGGAATGCATGAGAGCTTTTACACGGAAGTTTTAGAGATCCCTTCCTTTGAGGGTTACAACAGTATGTATAATAGGAGAAGGAGACAAGGCGCCGCTCATGACACGTTCTTGGATGGTGCGAGGTGACTACCTCTGTCCTCTACCTGCCTTGTCACATAGTGGGGAAGGTGGCTGGCTCCCTTGTCGCGTACTGCCATGGACTGATTACTCGAGTATCTCCAATGATCCTCTGCTGATCATGGTCGCTACAAGGATGGTTTCTAGGGGATGGATTTGCTGATATTGGGGAATGAATGAGATGATAAAGTAGTCTGACCGGTATACTATCCGAAGTATACCTGTCACCTTTTTTGGTCAACCCAGAATCCTTTTACTGGTGATTTAGGTCTCCCACTCAAGAATAATCAACTTGACCGGTTGAATATTTGAACGTCTTTTTTGACCGGTTCTAGGTGGAATACATCCATCAATAAGTCCTTCACTTCTCGGCCATGTAAAATATCATGTGCGGGAAGTAAAAAACTGAGAAATGGTCCCGAAATTCAAATTTCAGACCTTTCCTGCTTAAAAATTTTGAATTTTGAATTTGAAGGAAAGCAATGGCTTTGACACACGTCACTCGTTGATCATAGCCATCACTGTGCACTTTCGTCTTCCCAAGCGAAATGATGGCGCCGCCTGATGCGGCAAATTCTGAACGTGCCACGTCGCCCCTCTATTCAATTTTTGAATTTTTCTTCGCCTATATAAGGGCCTCCATCCTTCTCATTCTCTCACTTTTCGCATTCGCCTTTCAGAGCTTTTACTGGCCAAGTTCCCAGCTTTAGCTTCTCAGCCCTCCGAGTCAAGTAAGCTCTCCTTCCTTTCTTCATTTTCTTTCCGAGTCATGTCTTCTTCTGATAGTCAGAACATTTCTTCCTCAGATGCCTACGCATCTGAGGAATCTCCAACCCCCTCTTATTCGACCGAGTATTATTCCTCTGACTTTGAGCCCCGACCGGCTCCTCAACCTTTTGCTCCTGAACCAAAACCAGTCAACCAAGTATCCGGTCAAGTTTTTATGGAGAGGGACGAACCGGTTGATGATGAACCGGGTCCCTATGACCCCGATAATGAGTCTTGGATGCAATGGGAGGAGAGGTTGGAAGCAGCCGATTACTCTCCTCTCCCCACCTATTATGTCTTAGACATTTATCCCCATGTTTCTAAAGTTGCTTTAAACAAAGCCCGTAGGAACCTCCCGGAGGGCTATGTTCTCGAATACGATGAGAACTGGCCCAACATTGTTGAACCTCGCCGGGAGGATAGGATATGTTTCCATATCACTTCCTTAGAGGGTGGTATCCTTTTTCCTTTTCGCCCCCTCATAGTCGAGGTGTGTCACTGCTTCAGGATTCTTCCCAGGCAGGTCACACTCAACGGTTACCAGCTTCTTAATGCCTTTGTAAATATCTGCACCCATCTTCATATCGATCCCTCTCTACGTCTCTTTCTGTATATGTTTGAAGTCTGTCCTGGGATATCGGGTTGCGACGGTTTTGTTTATTTTAAGGGGTGAAACAATTGAAAATTCATTTCTGACCTTCAACAAAGCAACTGGTCGTTGAAGGAAAAATTTGTCTTTATAAAATTCCCTCCCTTTGCGACTCCCTTGGCCGGTTTGAGGTGGAGTGACCACCTCCTCAAATAGGAATACACCGAACCTTTAACCGCACCAGACTTGGAGGAGAGTCTGGAAAAGCTTTTGAAGGGGGGCCCCTTTATCGGGCAAAAATACCATTATGAGAGCTGGGTATGGAGGGTCCAACCGGGTGGCGAGCGTAAAATTACATTTGAATAGCTCTTAAATTAACACTAATAGATAACAAAAGGTATAAAGAAAAATGACTACTCGTAGAAATGTAATCATAAAAGAAAGATCACAAATGTAATACTACCTCTGTCCCTGAGTATTTGTCCAGTTTTGATTTTTTTCAATCAATCATTTTCAACCTTTGAGCTATTATTATATAAAATATATATTATATATTAATTAGATAAAATGATATTTTGAAAATAATTCATATAATAAATCTAATAAAATTATTTTCTTTATCAATATCTAATATCATTTTTATTTAATTTGAGGTCAAAGTTTATCAATATTGATTGAAAAAAATCAAAAGTGGAAAAATAATCAGAAACGAAAGAAGTACTTAATAATCAAAGACTGGATATAAAAAATTTTAGAATAAATTTCATAATTAGTCTTTTATAACAAATGATTTTCCTATTTAGTCATCTATTATCAAATATTACCCGATGGTCCTTCTTCTATGGGTATACTTCTATAAATTGTCTTTTTGATTTTTTATCATGTTGGTGTTAATTTCAAGGCTAAAAGTGTAATTTCACAATGATAATATATCTTTCTTGTCATATACAATTCCAAATGCCGCTCATGAGCGTCGTTTGTGAATTACAATCGCTTTCTACTACAACCATATATAGTGTACAGATGTGGTCTTTTGTCAGAATCATAGCTCACAATCATAGTCATTATTTTTGTGTTATTTGTCTAACCAATATCAGAATATGTCACTGGACATAAGATTGATGTTAAATTACTCCGTATAATGTTAGCTTTTAAATTAACACCAACATGACAGAAAATTAAAAAAAGACCATTTGTGGAAAGACATCCATATAAGGACTACGAGATTAATATTTGATAATAGAGGACTAAATATGCAAACTACCATATTATAAGGGACTAATTATAAATTTACTCTAAATTTTATTTTATAAAGGACTAGTGATAAAATAAAGTGAAATTTGCACTTAATAAGACTAAAACATAAGTCATTCCCCAATTTAGGACTTAAACTTTCATATTTTCTAAATAGGATTTAATAATGACCAGGGAGAAGAATAATGACCAAGTAGTGGTGGACATTTAGTTGAATAATGACTAATAGATAATGACCAATGGTCTTACATTGAAAAATAAAAACATATGGTCCTATATTGAGAAAATCATTATGTTTTAATCTTATTTAGGTAAATTATCCTAAAATAAATTCTTATTATTAATATTATTATTATTAGGAGCATTGTCTTTCAATTTTCAAACAACCCAACTACTACCATTGGCTAGGTTCACCCCATACTAGGCCGGCATCCCTATCCAAAGTCCCAAACGACATGCATGTCTATCCTAGAATTATTTTATGAGAAAGGGGTATACCCCATTTGTTCCCCACTCATTTCTCCATCATATAATTTTATTTTATTTTTATTTATTTATTTTTTTTTGTTTTCATTATCTTTTTTGTAGTGATGGAGGGGGAGGAGGACAAATGGGGTGTAGCCCAGCATTTTTTTTATTTTATTGCAAATTCATTGAAACTTGAAAACCAAAAAATCACAATGATCAATCAAGGACAATAATCGGATAGAAAATTAATGCGCACAAATTTTCTCTCCATCTCATCATTTTCGCCCCCTCTACTGGCCCTTTGTTCTACAGCTAAACTTTATTTCTGCAAATTTTTGAAACTCGAATTTTCTTTCAGCAAATACTAGGGAACACTCCATGGATTCGGCGGCGGAGCGGCGGCTGAGTGCTATTCAAGGTCATCTGGTTTCGGCCGCCGACGAGGATTCGTGCTCCTTGATCCGTTCGAACCACACCTCCGGCGAATATTTTCACGGTAAATAACGCCTACTCTTGCATATTGGCTTTGTGATTCCAGTTATTTAATGTATTGAGCAGGACGTGCGTCCTTTTCCTTAGAGGACGATTAGAGTTGGTAATCGACTGACACAACAGATATATGCGTTTGCTCAGTGATCCTACTGGTGCCTTGAATGTGTCGGAGACTCGGAGTTGAATCACCTCTTTTTTTCCTTCTCATTTTTTTTTCCGGAACCTTTTTGGATTGATTTCAACCCTTTTGGTTGGGTACTGTTAGTATATGCTGTTGATGTAATGGTCTAATTTTCTGTTTAGTGTTTACCCAAATAACTCATTTTGTTGACGCTGCTTACACATGAAAAGGTGATAAAAAACTCACTCATATTATTCTGTTTTTTTGCTTATTTATGTTTCACATTTAAATTGACCTATAAAATTGAATTCCCTGTAGGAGGTATCCAACTAAACACATTCGTGTTTGTGCCAGAAGCATGTGTCTCGTTTATTAGCTCAAATCCCCACCCCCCAAAGTTCCCTCTCCTCCAATTAGAAGTGCGTTGGCCCGAGCATGAATGCTAAGGTGCATGTACAAAAGTTGGGGGGTCACATCTTTCATTGATCACATGCTTGTGATTTGTTGAAATAATGATGTTTGACATATACACACATTACATGTGTGCAAGTAATGGTAACTTGATAGTCAAAATTTTAATTGACATCCATAGGTTTTTTGTCTCTAATTCTCTCATTTTTGCCAATTGGCGAACCTTTAGAAGTTTCAGCTAATGGAAACATAGATATTTCTAGACAACTGAAATAATATTGTTGCGAATGTCTTAGCTGATTTTTGAGTTTGACTCAAATTCCTTTCTTTAAAGATACCAGTTTGCTTCAACCAAGCCATCTATACAAAGTACTTGTTTAAGAATACAATTTTGATTTTATTTTAATTTTGTGATTTGAATTTTAAAGATTTTAATATGAAACTACAGAAAAGAAAGAAAGTCGTAAAAAATGACAACTATGATCATCATAACCTCTTAGTTTTTTTTTGAGATCTAGCTTTAATTTTTAGAATAGTTTGAAATCTAGCTTACGTCATTCTCTTTTGTTATTTAGTTATGAAAACTACATACAGAGTAAACACCAAGATTCTGGAGAAAATCAATCAATGATCCCAGTATTGATAATGTTATGGCTTATGCCGGGCTTTCTGAATTTTCGTGTAACTTATATTGACGATGATGATTTTTTTTTGTCAATTTTGGTATTTATAATAATTTTAATGTTGGCGAGTAGACTTGTAATCTTACTTTCATTTCCAAACATTTACTTGATTACGACTCTATTTGTGGTTTACATGAAGATAATACTTTTCATTATTCAAATTTATTTTATTTCATTGTGAGTGTGTTGATTTTTATTCACTCTATAATGAATTTGGTTGTATAGTATGTATCAATACGAGTCATTCTTCACATATTTGTGAATATATACATTCGTGTTATAAAACCTATTTTAAGTCTAGAAAATGTTTAATACACGTATGTATCCGTATGTGCCTTTCAAATGTTTAAAACATATAGTAAGCTGTATTTTACGTATGCTGTATATTACTCCCTCCGTCCCCCATAGATCTTCTCAATAGCCTTTTTTCTTTGTCCACAATAGATCTTCTCATTTCATTTTTTAATATTTAAAATACTACAACTACCCTCACTTACTTTATTTATTACACCTTACCCACCTCATTTAATACACTCCACCCATTTTCATTAAGGGTATTATGGTAAACTTTCACCTTTTTTCAACTCTCCTTAAAAACTATCAAAAGTCAAAATGAGAACATCTTAGGGGAACAGAGGGAGTACTAACTATGATTCCGGGCATTTGCGCAATTCTAAGTAGTTAATTATTTAATTTATTTCTTTCCCAAATCTTCACAAATACTGCCTCAGTCCTAAAAAACTTTTCCACATTTGAAATGGTGGGATTGAAGGAATGTGTAATTTGAGTGTTACTTTCCAATTTTGCCCATGATTTATAGTAGGGTAGAATATGGTGTGATGAGTAGATTAATCGTAAATAGAAATGATGTGATAGGTTTGTTAATAATTAGTAGGGGTAAATAGGAGATTTTAATTAATAGTCAAAGTGTTTTTAGGACTGATGAAAAGTGAAAGTGGAAAGGTTTTTAAGGACAGGAGTAATATTTTGGGATATTTTGGAGTTTTAAAATTAGGATGGTTGGATGAAGTCGAAGTGTATTTTCATAAATGTTTTTATGAAGATTGTATTAAGGGTAGTTACCCTTGTCATTAAATGGCAATTAAGGGACATGATGAGAATTTTAATGCGATCTTCATGTGATATGATGAGAATTTTAATGCGATCTTCATGTGATAGAGCATGGCAATAGTTAATGATTTTAAGACATATCTTTAAGATCTTTTAAGGAAGGTGTGATTAAGATTTGATAAGATTTTAATTTGGTATATGTAATTTTTATTTTAATTGTTTGTAATTTAGTGTGTGCTTAGCCTATAAATACGTTCTTTTCTTTCATTGTGAAAACACCTGGAATTTGAATGAAGTATTGATGGATGCATTTAATCCTTTGGGTTGTAAGAGAAGTTTTCTTTTGAGTGAAAATAAGTCTGAGTTTTAAACACTTTGAGAGTTCTTTAATTATTAAGTTAAATACTATTCAACTTGAAGGTTAAGAAATCCAACATTTGGGTTAATATGTTATACTAGCATAGGTCGTAGATGTTCAAAACCTATCGTTTGCCTTGTTTGGGAAGCCTCAAGAGGTGAAACTGACTAAACAATGTCGGTCCAAAAAACACATCCGCATCATTTGGTGTTGGAGCGTATCAATGGTCAATAAGAAACTCATTGGGCGTAATTACGTCTTGTAATGATAAAGATGTCTTTCAAAGCAAGTAGTGGAATAATATCCACTGGCATTGGTACCATTTTTAAGTAACATTAATAACTATGGGGCAGTGTAAGTTGACTGCAAATGCTAACATGGAGATACTTCTTCATTTGAGAGATTTTATTTTCTTCTAGGAGTTACTTGAAAACTACTTAGGGGCTATTTGTTTCAGCCTCTTAATGGTTCAGATGTCTGAATGGTTCAGCACTTAATGGTTCAGACTGTTTGTTTCAGCCTCTTAATGGTTCAGATGTCTGAGACATTTGCCTCTGAATGGTTAAGTATTATACAGAGTCTGAATGGTTAAGACTTCTTATCTGAATTGATCAGACATTTGCCTCTGAATAGTTAAGCAATATACTAGCTCTTAATGGTTCAGGCCTCTTACTGGTTCAGCACTTACCTATTCAGAAGTTGCCAAACAGCCCCTTAGAGCCCATGTGACTAAGTTTTCTTCATCTTTTTAGTATTTTTGTGAGTGTGTTTTTATTTTTGATTGTTTGAGTATTTCTCGGCTCCTTTGATTCTTGTGTTTAAACTCTTGTCAGATCAAAGGTACAGTGTAGTTCTTCCTGAAAAATTGCAGACTGGAAAATGGGATGTATACAGGTACGATATGCTTGTACACAAATTGTACTCCCTCCGACCATATTCAATCTTTCCATTTGCTTTTTAAACAGAGTTTCAATAGGTGAAATTGTGTGGTTGAAATTTGTGCAGATGAGAGAATTAATGTGAACAATATAATTCTTTCTTTATAAGGAAATGAGAATATTATTTAGGGGCATTCAAAAAAGGAAAGTGGGAAGATAAAAAAGGGACAGAGGGAGTAATGTACTTTTTGTTTCACTCCTTATCTTCTGCATATTTAAAGGTATGAAACTAAATCATGGTTGCAGATCTGCACGCTCCCCTACGAAGCTTGTAACTAGATTCCGGGATCATCCTGATATCTGCACACTGCATGACAACTTTGTGTCAGAAATTCTTTTCATGCTTTGTAATTATTTCATTATCAGTCTATTTTGGCATGAAATTCTCTGTTTTATCTGGATTGACAGCATTTTTCATTGTCCACTTTCCAAATCCTTCAGTGGCAGCAATTCAACTTCTCTTGTCAAGGGACCTGACTTGATTTTCTTCTCCATGTAATTATTCTTTTCTGTAGGCATGCAATTGAAACCTTTCAAGATTACAAATACTTGGGCACACGTATTAGAGCAGATGGAACCATTGAAGAGTGAGTTTCCATTGGTTGAGAAGTTTGATTAATCATATCGATATTTATAAAATACTCTGGTAAAAATGGTTATGCCTGACTTGTTTTTTGCACATTAATAAAGATACAAATGGATGACATATGGAGAAGCTGGATCAGCTAGGTCAGCAATAGGTTCTGGACTTCGTTTTTGTGGACTAGAACCAGTAAGCTATTATTACAGTGGCATGTTACACACACACATAATCATATATATCTACATATGTGTGTGTGTGTATATATATATATATGCATGCATATATATTTTTTTTTGGGGGGGGGGTTAAATTTCTATTTAGTGCACATCATTAGCAGGGACGTTTGTATCTTCTAACCTACTAGCATAATTCCCAATATAGCCGCTTATTGTTTTGATGTTTGGTTCTGTTTTTACTCACCCTTATTGCCCTAATTTTCTTAGATATAATTATTTGGGACTTTGGATTTCTAATTGACCAGGAAGCTCGTGTGGGAATTTATTTCATAAATAGGCCAGAATGGCTCATTGTGGACCATGCCTGCTCAGCATATTCATATATCTCAGTCCCCTTATATGACACTCTGGGTGTGTATTGTGTATTTGAATAGATCTTATGTTGTCTTTTAAAGGGCATTAACATTGTGAAATTCACAAATGTAGGTCCTGATGCTGTTAAGTTTATTGCCAACCATGCTGGTATAGAGGCCATCTTTTGTGTACCCGATACCATGAATACCGTGAGTTCGTCTTTATTATTTTTTGTATTATTATTATTTATAAATTTGTTGGCCCTCCCCACATGCTGTTAGGTATATGATATTATGAAGTTATTGAGTTTCTTGTGATTAATTGTAAATTGAATGTTACAAAGGTTCGTT